GAGAGGAATCAAAGAAAGAGGTTCTCTTGGCAGAAGACCTAAATATCATCTTTTTAACTTTATTATTATTATGTCTAATGAGAAGAGTTATAATCATTTTTTCACGGTGTCTTTTAATTCTTTTATTATATTCTACTGGAATTTTCATGAAATTGTATCCTTCTATAAAATTAGTGTTGCAAATAATTTTATTTTTCTTTGTAAAGAAATAATAATAAATAAATAAAAATATATTACATCGCATGTTTATCGCTAATAAATACCTATGATCCCGTCCAATTTGAAATTGCATTTTTATAAATCATTTATGCGCCATATTGCTTGTGAACCCATTATTTTGCTGGTGACAGTATAATAACATATGAGTTATAAAAAAAATGCCGTCAATATAGCAATTAACCCCACTATTTGTTGCTGTGATATGCTAGATATTTTACGTGGAAAGCTAGTATTTTCACTGACGTTTGATAAGTTCTTTACTCTAAGTGCTGAAACATACAAAACATAAAGTTACACAATATGATGTAATGTGTGAACTCCGTCGGTAGTGAACATGATAAATAACTAGGGTTGGGATAAATATCCGATCAGATCGGATATTAGTTTTACAATGGATCGGATACTCAAATAGCATTTCCATCAATGGATGATCTCACAATTTTACGCAGGCATGATACTTCTTGCATTTGTCTTACACTTAATAGGTGTCATTCAATCGATATCGGTTCATCACCTGATACTAATACTATGAGTTGAAACGTTGTAATCATAAGAATTAGAACTTTCCTACTATAAAAATTGCTGTTCTTGTATTTTTGAGTTAATTATTCGGTTCGTTAAGTCACTCAGCCCTCACTAAATGATAACTTGTGAAATGTTATAAAAGAATGCTTTTCTGAGTTTTTACCATTTCTTAACGAACAACTGACAGTACAATAAGAGTATGCATTGTTAATAGTTGGCTTCTCTTCCAAGATGGCACTAAAGGAAAACCAGCTCATAATAATGTCACGTCAAGCGCACTCTAGCCTGCAGTTCAATGTTCTGGTAAAACTCTTTTAATATCAATTTTCGGACTTTGTTTATAGCAATACATCTGTACTAGAGGGCGCCTAAAATTACCGATTTAAACATGGGAGAAGAGGGAAGAAATTTTAGAAGTTATTATTATGATAAAGTTGGATTTCGAGGTGTTGAAGAGAAAAAGTCGTTAGAAATGTTGTTGAAAGACAAACCCATAGATTTAGCTAAGCTCCTGAAATTTTGTGTGTGCTTTTCCCTTCCGGCGATGTATAGGGAATATGTTTGGAAATTGCTTCTTGGTAAGACTACTGACTAGTATTTAGCTTAGTAATAGTATTATATTTATTGTTAACTTGTCAGAGTTTTAAAAATTGTAAGGGTCGACTAATACTGAATAATATTAGTAATACTAGTACTAGTACTCAGCAGTAGTAGCGTATTTCTATTAGTCTCATTTTAATACCAGAAGAAGTAATACTATCACTCACTCAGTATCAATTACTTTGAGTCTGACATCATTAGTATAGACCAGTGGAGTATGAAGCGTGTGTGTGTGGCCCAAACCTTCCCACTTTTCAATTTGTCCTAGTGAAAATGCATCAGCATTAGGAAACTTACTCTCAAGAAAAGCCATAGAATGCATAAAATTTAATCCAGAACCCAAGAGCTTTCAGGACCCTAACTAAGGTGAGCTCTGGATCCTGGCCGTAATGGGTATGCCTGTAGAGTGTATTGCATATTTCCTTACTTTGCTTAGTTAAACCTAATTTTAAATTGAATTTGCCTCTTACACCCATGGTCTATACAGGTACTACTGCTAACTAGTGCTAGTAGTAGTAGTAGCAGTCGTAACTCATGGAATATATATATATATATATAGTTTTATTGTATGTAACGAATCTTGGAGCTCTGAACACAGAGAACAACACCCATTCCATTAAATCATAAATGTGTATAAGTTAACTTTTAGTATAAATAATTTATTTTTACATACATATAGATTTTTTCTTTTACTTAATACTAGTGATCAAAAGCTTAACTCGCACAGTTTAGACCACATTTGTTGTGGAAATTGGAACTATGTGAACAAAATAAAAAATTCAAGTAAGATAAGTTTGAACTTTTTTGTATATAGTTAATTATCTCAAATCTGGTAGGATTTAAATGTTTCAAGTTCCACTTGTTGGAAGAAAGTGCTTGTTGAAATAAATTACATATAATGCTTTTCAGTTACATATTGATTAATTTTTATGTAAGATATGTTTTCCATAGATGAAGGATAAATGAGCTATGCCATTAAACTTAAAATTAATTATATTTTTATCCAATTTTATTTTATTATTTAGCCAGAAAAAAATGGTAACATGTATAATAATTACATTTGAATAGTAAAATGTCACTCAAACCATCAAGGCAGTGCTTTAGTGCTAGTACTAGTAGCAAAACTAATAGAATTTTAGAAATGAAGCAAAAGAAGTTATTGAAGTTGAATTTATATGGGCTACTGTCAGGGATTTCAGGGGTAGGAATGTTTTAACTGGCAGTTGTTTTAGGCCACATGATCAAACAGATAGTGTTAATGTGAAACTATACAATGAGATCAGGGTTGTTATCAACAAGAATGATGATGCAATACTAATGTGAAACTTTAATTTCTGACACTGATTAAGATTGTATGAAGTCAAATAGTGAGAAAGAGAAAGTAGTTCTGGATGGTTTTGTATACCAAATGGTCAGAGATCCTACCAAAGGGAGTGAAATTTTAGATTTATTGTTAACCACTAATGAAGATATGGCTGCAAGGGTTGAAGTGAGGGAAACATTTGACGAAGTTATAATTCCTTAGTTAGGTTTGGTGTTTTGTTATATGTTGAGATAGAAAGAAATTAAATTCTAATATCTAATTTTCAAGAAGCAAATTTTGAGGCAGTGAGACAAGGTTTATCGTTAGTGAATTAGGATATTGAGATGAAAGATGATATGAGACTGGTCTGGGAATTTTAAAAAAATATATAGCCGTTTAATTTACAGTAAGTGTGATTCTAAAATCAGGAAAATGATAGCAGGACAAATCACATGTAATTGGTGTACTAAAAATATAAAAGAGAAAATCCGGGATAAGTGCCTTATATTTTAAAATTTCCAATTGTCAAGTAGGATGAGAAACTAACAGAAACATAGGAAAGATAGTATTTGGTTAAAAAGAAATTAGGATATTGTGAAGTGCTTATTAGACCGGCTGAAAAGGCTCTAAATTTGACAATACACTTATGTATGGTATGATCCAAATAATTTAGTTATTATATTCTGTTTATCTGAAAATTTGAATCATGCATTTAATATAGGTTGGAAACTACTTAATAGCATGATTGAAGAAAAGGGTCTTGGCATAGTGTTGGATAAGTCACTCAAGTTATTGAAGCAGCACTGTTGCTAGTAGTAAAGACAAAATATTAGAGTGTATTTACAGACATATTGCTTACAAGTTAAAAGACTTTCTATAGAAATTGCTAGTTATTCTTCTCTTAGAATACTGTTTTCAGTTTTGATTTCCTTATTTAAGAAAGGATATTGACTTCTTTGAAAGGGTTCAGAGGACATTTGGTAGGATGATTCTGGGGAAGGAAGGTTAATGTTTCTTAAATTACGTTCTCTTAAGAAGGGTAAAGGTGATATTATTAAAGTTTACAAGGTTATCCAGGTGATCAGCAGTAAAGGCCTCAGCTTTCTTTGTGTTCTATTTTGAAGATAATATAATGGCAAGACAAAAGTATAAGATTTAAAAAAGATAGACTAGGCTTCAATTAAGACTTGTGGAGGCCAAAACTTTACAGATGCTTAAGAGGGAAAATTGATGATTTTGTGAAAGGTAAAAAGTGGGCTAAAATTTTACTTTCCTTAAAATTGAGTGTGTAAGGACAACAACCTTCAAGGACCAAAGGGTCCCTTGTTGTCTGTATGTTATGTTGAATGGCATTGTTTTAACACACTGACTGCTTCTCAGCAAACCTATAAAAACCTGTTAAAGCCAATATTTTGAATGTGGTCCTATTTTATTTTGTGAAAATGATCTATAAAACCAATATGTTGTTATACTAACCTGAACCACACATCAAATTTTTATGTTGTTGGTTTCTGGGTACAGGGTTTTCCTTGATCAACCCACTGTGGATTTCCTCTCTTGAATTTTGGATTGTCTCCTTGGTCTTGGATTTTGGGGGGATCCTGTCCCACACCTTTCGTTTTTCCCAATCCTGCAGGTATTTACCACTTCTGCACTATACCTGTGGATGTGATCTGCCACAATGGGTTGCCCTTTCGGATGTGGATATTAATGTAGTCCTGCACTGCCTCACTTTGCCTATTTTCAAACCATTCTCCCAGTGCTCCTTGTTTCACCTTCCCTTATGTCTTTCTTCCTTCTCCTATTTGTTGTGGATGTTGGTGGTTTGTTGCTTCGCCACTGTACTCTTTATCCTTCTACAATTTCATTTCTCCAGACTTTTTTCCTCCCTAACATCTTGGCTGCTCATGAGAATCACTCCTCCGTTTAGCCACTTTCCCTTTATTCCATTTCACACCTTTATCCTCATCCTGATCCGGATAGACTTCTATGTCCTGTGTGTGCTCTTTTCTGTTATATTTTCTGTATGGCTTCTTTCTGTATTGTCCGTTCCTACCTCTTTTCCATTGGCAACTGTCCTCTGTTCATGTTCTTTCTCCTTCCTCCTTTGCTAAATGGGTTAAGCTCTTCATTCGATTGGCTTCTTCCTCTTTATCGTCTTCCTCCTGTACTTTGTTCCAAGTGTCTTCTCATCCAATTCAAATACCTTTTCATTGGTGTTTCATTTTCATCATCCTTTGGAGGTACTTCTTCAATCAGGCATGTGAACTACCCATGATACGTTTGTCTCTCGCTGTTTGCATCAGATCATGGTTTTCTTCCTCTTTGGGTTATCATCTTCCACCTGTAGTCATTGTAGAATATCAGAATTCAGTGGGTCTTTGACTAGGTATGTTATTTAATTTTTTCTTTTTCTGGGTCCCTTTTCTTTTTTATTAATGTTCATTGTTTGGATCCCACTCTGTGGCGAGTGGTGCCTGACCAGGTATTCTTTAACTGTTCAAATCTGCACTGTCAAACCATGTCAACTTGCATATTATAATTCTATGGCCACACAACAAACACTGCAGAGATGAGGTGTGTTCCACAAGATCTCTTGTAGGTTTATCCTCGCAATAGCATTGCTTCATAAGTTTGCCCGCTCTGGACCATACCCATACATGGGTAAAGCAGAACAGGATGGCTGCCCATCCTTGCCATGTTTTGTGTTGAATAAATCGGTATGGTCTACTTTTAAAAATAAGGTTTCATAGTCACCCATTGCACTGTCTCGGGTGTTGTCGTTCCTCCAGACTCTCCACCGTGTTTTAACCCCCTTTTGTTCTAGTGGAATTTGAAGAGTCCTTACCACTTTCTAGTTTCAAGCCACTGGGGTGGTGGACCATGGAGGTATCCCCCTGAAGAGGTAAAGAAATACAAACAAAATATAGAAATGATTATAAAACCATTCAGTTGAGAGTAGGGCAGTGGTATTCTGCTGGTGTAGATGATGTGATATTTTCAATATGACACATAAAAATGGGAGTGAGACGTCAAATTTGCAGATTACCCCTTTGATTGGGATCCCTCATCCACATGTTTGTCAGTTCCCAGTGGCCGGGTTTTGGACTTAAGAGTAGAACCAATCAGCATAAGTCCTCACACTTATATTACAGATGTCTATACTCCTCCCTCATTTATACTCCATCTGTGTTGTGGGCTACATGGGGGTAATTGCGGATTGTTACTCTTCCACTATCCCTTGATGTTTTTTATTCCAAGGATGTTCATGCACTTTGGGTGGTTCCAGTCAATTTTACTTTTGAGGGATATGGTTTACATTATATAGACATTTTTTTTTATACCAGATGTCAGGTTCCCAGATCAACCTGTCAATTTATCATATTCGCATGTGCCCCATTCATTGTTGTGGGCCATGATAGGGGTAATTGCAGACTGTTGCGGTTCTTTCCCTTCTGCTATCCCTTGATGTTTTTTATTCCGAGGACGTTCATGCACTTGGGGTGATTTTGGTCTATTTCACTTTTGAGGGATATAGTTTACATTATGTAGACATTTTTTTTATACCAAATGTCGGGTTCCCGGATCAATTTATCATATTAGCATGTTCCACATTCATGAGTTGGGGATTACTAGATTCCCTCCTACCCCTACATAGATGTCAGCTACCAGTGGCTTTGGTTTTGGATTGTAGTCAACTTTACGGTGGTATGATCCTCTTTTCTACTCCCACGTGGATGTTGGTACCCAGAGAGCAAGTTTTGTATAATCCTCATCCTACCTCCGTGTGGATGTTGGTTCCCAGCAGCATTGGTTTTGGATGTAGTGGATTTGCTGTGTACTGTGTGTCACACCCTAGCCACTCTACACTTAGGATCACATCCTTTTTATTTTACCCACTTTTATAATTTCTGGGATTGAGTTTCATAAATATCTCATGGTTTGGATCACTTTCCAGCCATAATTCTCTCCAAATTGGATGTGCTCCTTTGTTTTCTGCCCATATGTGCAACATCTTTTTATGATGGATGAAGAGTATACCTGGTTGGAAGTGGTGCAGTTCTCCACATCAGATCTTAGAAAGTTACTTCTTTCTTTCACTCCACCTATTCAATGTGGGATTCTAGCTATTTATGTGAGGGAGGTAAGGTACTGTATCGGAAGTTATAATTTTCCTATAGTGAAAATGTATTTCTGATAGGTACTTACTTTCTATCACACTTTCAATCCTCCCTACCCACTGAAAACTGGTGCTTCCATCTTCTGCAAAAACTCAAAGTGATAGTTTGGTACAATTGAACAGAGGGAGTCATGTGTCACAATAGTGTGTCGCACTCTTATTGGTGGAGGGTTGATGCATGATGATTTGCATAAGAGATGCATTGGAATCAATCAATTCCAATGGAAGGGAGGTAGAAGGCTTGTGGCATATGTAAAAACACTTTTTGCATATAGAGGGCAGAACTGAATGAGAATAGCTATTTATGTGAGTAGAGGTAATTACCTATCGGAAAAACATTTCAGTGTAAGAAAATTATAACTCTCGAGATTGCATCCATTTCTATTGGATAACGTCAAATTTGACTTTCAGAAACACATAATATCCTTGCAGATCCAGAATGATCAATGAAACGGATCATTTTTTGTAGTGTGATGAGGAGTCTTAACCTTAAGGTACTCATGAAGTTTGGTACAAATCCAATCACATTTACAGAATTATTAACCCAAATATGCCCTATCTCCCCATTATAAAAAAAAAATGCTTCAAACTGATGCAGAATATGCATCTGTACCAAATTTGGGAAGAACTGTCCTGTACTGACTTCCCATCTTCTGTAAAAATTTTGTGTACAACAGTATTAGTTTTCAAGACATGTAAACACAGACAGACATACACACATGGCCCCGATTGCAATACCCTTGCTTCCCCCCCTTTCAGGGGCAAGGATAATAAGCTGTTGGCTGTAATCTGTCAGTCTGATTACAGTGATTTTTGTTAGATGCCTAACAAACTAACCATGACTAGTGTAAAATTGTGTGCAACATCACTTTTAATTTATTTCTATAGAAAAATTTGAAATATGAAAGAAATCAGTGAATTATGAGAGTGATTTGTGAGACCTTGTGTTGAAGTTGTTGTTTTTCAATAGATATACTTCCAACTAATCCTGAAAGTCAGAAGTTTGTGACAGATGTCCAGAGAGAGCAGTTTAATGATCTCTACCATGCACTAGAAGTAATGAGAAAAGTCAATGAGAACACTCCTTTACCTGAAGTTGTTGCACAGATGTTTCTCTTAGAAGAGGGAAATTTTTGGCTAGATCAAGAACAGCAGGTAAATTCAATTTCAACATCAGGAGAAGAAACTTTTCATGTTAACTTGTGGTACTTAATTCATGTATATTTGTAGAGAAATGTGTTTTTAATGTATAATTTTTTTTCCTTGATTTAAATTTACATTTTTGATATCAGAAGAGTATTTCTGTGGACTGATACTTGTTTAATGTCGGGCACTTACAACAAAAAGTACAGATATATTGCTAAATGTGATTTTGATGAAACTTAAGTTTTCTGCTCATGCTTAGCTGTGGTAAAGATGAAATAAAATCCTTGGTTCTTTTTATAGGAAGTTCATCAGAAAAAAATTTATAATTTTCTTGTGTTAAAACTGATGAAATCTTTTAACTGTAATGGTGCCCAGGTGATGGGTGAAATAAAAACTCGTTTGTAACAAAGGAAATTATACTTCTATTTTTTTCTTAATATAATAAACATTAAAAGTGCAATAAAGATACATAAAGGTACCAATACTGAAAAGAAAGATATACTGTTTTCAAGAATTCTATCAATATGAAATTAGATAGGTAGTTCCAACCCCTTCATGACCTTCCTCGTGTCAACCTGTATCACTGTGTTAAGTTGGAAGTTGATTGATCAAAAAATGTGGAAATGTATAAGGAACAGATACACACACACACATATTGAAGTTTATTTATATAGAAGATGAGAGGACCAACCTATTCATGTCATTCTATATCACTTTGTCAAGTTTTGTGCTGATTGATTGAGAAACTTGGAAATGTTTAAGGAACAGATGGTTGAAAGGTGCAGACAAATAGACACAAACTTAGCTTTATGTATTAGATTACTTACAAGTTTTCTGTACACAAAAAGTCTATTTTTAATTAAGGTATTTTTTATTAAAATTTTGTCCATGAATATATGGAGTTACAGTGTTGACTACTCCAAGTACAAAATAATTTTCATGTTAAGATTAAAAATACTTTACTACATCTGAAAATTTTCAGATGTTATTTGAATAACTTCTAAAATCTCTTAAATAAATATCAAGCATTTTTTTTCCACTAAAACTATTTATCTGTTATTTTCTTTACCCTAACTCTATATGGGCTTGGTTGATTTGACCGACCTTTAACCACCACAAAAAATGTGAAATAAATCTAAATTACTCTTTCTTTCTTTCTAGAATGACTGCATATTGTAACTCGAAACTACAGTTGTTTATCCTAAATACCTTATAACAATCTACCTCTATTTCTACTTAATTTTCTTGTTTTATTGCTCTTTGAACTACATCTAATTAATAATCCTGCTATACAAGTTGTAAATCACCCAGTGAACACATAGCTCACGTTACCTTATTGAATGATGTAATGCACTAGTTGCTTGCATACCTTGTGAAGAATTATTATTGTTTATTATTTTACCTAATATAACCTAGTAATGCCTAATGTTTACCTTTTAGTTACTCTTTTTAACAATAAAAAAAAATGTATTCATGAAAAGCAAGAAATATAGTTCTTACCTTTGGCCTCTTGTTTTTTTTTTCTGTCGGTTGCTGATGAAATTTGAGCCTACTTTTTATAATGATGGTACTAATACACTAAATAATTTTTATTTACTTAAATAATGCACTGAAGAATCTATACTGTTATTCTGCTTGTTTGTATGTACGACCGTTACACTTTCTGACCGAGAATCTGCTGCATAAGCATGCGTAGTTTGAATGTTCACCCAAGAAAAACTGTGCATGCGCATTATTCACTCGATGACAAACAGCTTGCCTACAGCAGAGAGCTCCAAAGCTCAGTGATCAAGTCGCTACAATTGCTGTATGAAACAAGAAGTAACAACAAAAGGGGAATGTAAATATACTTTACTAACCATTCTGTACAAAAGAATATTACAAACTTATCAAAGTTTGTAAACAAGGTTTGACGTTAGGTCATAGAATAACATTATAAGTTTATTTATTGATAGTATTAAGTACAGTAAAGTTTAGTCCTAACTAAACTAAAGTAAACAAACAAAAAAAAAACGTACACAGGCTACAGTGTTA